CACCACCACCACCACCACCACCACCACCACCACCACCACCACCACCACCACCGTCGTCCTCGTCGACGCTCCCCGCCGCCGCCGCCCGCCGCCGCAGGTGCCTGCGCAGGCCCAGACGAGGAAATCGTCGCCCCCGCCGCCGCCGCCAGCAGCCGCCGCCTACGCAAGCGCCAGCCCGCCCGAGGAGAGGGGAAGCAGGGGTTCGAACTCCCCCCCACCCCTCCATCCAGGGGGGGGGGTCCAGTTTCCCCCCCCCCCTCCAAGCGACCACAGAACGCGCTCTTTCCGAAGTGACATGTTGAGCCTTTCCTTCCAAGATGGCCCCAAGAAACCCGCAAGGCGCCCCCAAGAGGCCCGAAGAGGCCTCCACGAGGCGCCCAATGAGCTCCCAAGGGGCCCCTCAAGGGGCCCCGAAGAGCCCTCCAGGTGCCCCCGAGAGCCCTCCAGTGGCTCGAGGGTGAAAATGGATGCACCGCTGCATCGCTCCTCGCCGGCACCTCGAGCGCCCTCAGAAAGCGTCGTGCAATTGCAATCGCAATATCATGCACTCCTTCGCCGCCTCCTCCCATTGCTCGTCCTCGTCACTTCTTTATTCAATCATTTTCATTGTCGTCGTACTCCTCCGCCTCCTGCCCTTGCTACGCTTCCACCTCCTCCTCCGCCTCCATCCATCTCTGCCTCCAGCCCACCAGTATCCCTCCCTTCCTGTCCTCCCTTCTTCCCGTCCCAATCTTTGGAAAGACGCGTAAAGCCGCCGACTCACGCAGAGGGGCGAGGATAGAGCCGGGAGAGGGAGGGAGGGGTATGAGGAATGAGGGAAGGAAGTGGTGAAGCGAAGAAAGGGAAGAGAAGATCGGAGATGAGAGGGGAGAGGAGAAGCGGGTAGGAGGCGCTTGTGTGTGTGCGTGTGTTTGCGCGTGGGGTCCCTGCGCGCTCGCCCGCCTCGCGCATTCCCCTACAATACCTGCAACGCCTGGTGGACTTCACGATGGCTTGTGCCCTATGTGGTCACTCGCTACGGTTACGTCAGCTGGCTGGCAGGAGGAAAAATCCCAGACCCCTTTCGAGTCAAGAACAAATCACAACGGACTCGCTATTTTCGGCCTCTCGGAGCCCTTACCAGGCCACGGGTTCGTCAAACAAAGACTCAAAATGAAAAACCGTCCCCGTGGAAAGGATTCCGGACCCCTGGGGGTCGCGTCATGAAAAAATCATGCAGTCGGGGGTCTGGGAACGTGTTTGTGCGCGCATGTGTGTATATATGTGTATGCATATATAATTGTGTGTATGTGTTTGTGTGTGTGCGTATGTGTGTGTGTGTGTGTGTGGGTGTGTGGGGCATGGGGACGGGGTGGGAGAGGATAGGAACCAAGAGGAAGGACAGGAGACTAGAGAATCTGGCTGCTTCCGCTGCTTCTCAACCCCCCCTTGGGACTCGACGACTTCCCGCCAATCGCCTTGTGGGCATCAAGCCGGGAAAAATGAAGGCACATGCAGAGAAATCGAAGTCAATCCGGGCAAATCCAGAGAAACCCACGCAACTCCAGGGATCTCCGCTGACCTTTGGAGCACATCGTGGCCGCGCCAGCGCGAGTCGAGGGACGGCAGAAATCGTTAGGCCCTTAACCGAGCACCTACAAGGATGGAGGGCCTATTCGCAACGGCGGACACATTCGGAGCTCTCGCCTCAACGAATGGAGCTCTCGCCTCAACGGCGGACACATCCGTCCTAAACGCTCGAACCATTTACAAAGATGGATGGGGGTGGTGGTGGTGGTGGTGGTGGTGGTGGTGGTGGTGGTGGTGGTGGTGGTGGTGGTGGTGGTTTTCAAGACGGGGCTCTCGCCGTAGCGCCGCGTGGAATCGTCCCAAAAGTTTGCAGCACCAAGAAAGGATGGACGGGCCGTTTCAGGGATGGAGCTCTATCGCCTCAGCGCCGCGAGCAGTCGCCTTGAACGTTTGCACCAGCTGCATGCATGGAAAGGGGGGCGGGCGGGTCGTGCTCAAGATGGGGCTCTCGCTTCCGCGCCGAACACACATTCGCCTCTGTAGCTTGCAGCAACAGCTGCACGAATGGATGGGGCTGCTTTTTGAAAAAGGGCCCTGTCCTGAGCACCGCGCGCAGCCCAACCGGGCCCCCTTAAACGGGCGTCTGGGGCCCCGATGAGCCCCCAGGACAAGCCAAGAAGCCTCTGGGCCGTCCAATCTGACCTCAAGACGGCCAACGAAGGTCTCCGAAACGTCCCAACAGAGTTCCAAGAGGAGGCCCACCAAAGGGCGCCCCAAGGAGCAACCATCGTCCCATTCCATTCGGGAAACGTATTAGTGTTGCGTGTTCGCCTCGTCGGCTTGCACAACGTCGAAGAGGGCCCAAAAAGCCCCCAAGATCGCCCCAAGACGGCCCCAGAGTCCCCCAAGAGGGCTCCAAGACGGCCCACGATGGCTCCAAGACGGCCCAAGAGGCCCCCACACGGCCCAAGAGAGCCACAGGACGGCTCTAAGAGGGAAGCCCGAACGGACATTTCGAGCCCTCGGCCCCGAGGAGCCCCCAGGAGACCCCCAAGAGGCCCCAAGAGGCCCCCAAGAGGTCCCAAGAAGCCCCCGAGAGGCCCCCAAACGGCTCCCAAGATGCCTCCAAAACTGCCCCCAAGAGGCCCCCGAGAGCGCTCCGAAGAGACCCCAAGAAGAATCCCTGACTACTCTGACTCATAACCCAGGCACGGTGGCGGGATGGGCCGAAGGACATTCGATAAATATAGTTCGCAACATATGCAAGAATGGAGTGGAGGGGATCCATTTGAAAGGGGCCCTCGCCTGAGCACCGCGCGCACTCGTCTTTGGGATTCTTGCCTTAGCGCCGCGCGCATTCGTTTTGAACGACTGTAACACTTAGAAGGATGGGATACGGTTCCTTTTCAACATCGGGCCCTCGCTTGCGACTTCCTTTCACTGCACAACCAGAGACTCGAGCACATGTAACGCTGCACCGATGGAGGGCGGCTCCTTGTTACAAGTGTGCTTGAGAAGGGGACTGTGGATGGGAGGATCTTTTCCAGAATCGTTGATACATCTTGGGTCTTCTCTGGTCTTCCTGCCTCCTCCCTCCTCCCTCTCTGCTTCTGTCTCTCCTTTCTCCCTCCCTCCTCCTCCTCCTCCTCCTTCCTCTCCTCCTCCTCCTCTACTTGCCTCTTTCCTTCCAACCTCCCTCCTCCCTGCCCTCCTCCGCCCTCCCCCCCTCCTCCCCCCCTCTCCTCCTCCCTTTCCTCTCCCCTCCCTCCGCCCCCCATCCTCTTCCTCCCTTCCTTCCTTACTCCTCCCTCCTCCCCTCCCTCCCTCCTTCCTTCCTCCTCCTCCCTCCTCCTCCCTCTCTCCCTCCTCCCTCCTGCTTCCTCCTCCCTCCCTCCGCCCTATCTTCAACCTCCCTCTCCCTCCTTCCTCCTCTTCTCTCCCTCCCTCCTCCTCCTTCTTCCTCCTCCCTCCCCTTCCCCTCCCTCCTTCTCCCTCCCCCTCCCTCCCTCCTTCTCCCCCCTCCTCCTCCCTCCCTCCGCCCCCGCCCTCCTCCCTCTCGGGATCGGGGCCCGGCGTACGCCTCTGCGCGCTGCTCCGGCGTGATCCGGTCTTTGTCGAGGGGAGTGGAGTACTTGCTGGTGAACTGGGCGCCCCAGCGCCGAGGGCGACGGGCTGGACTCCCAGAATTTTTGGCGGCGAGCGAGGGGGGGAAGTTTCGGGTTCGAGGTTCGAGGTTTTCGACGTCTTTGTTGGTTCTCGGCGGTTTTCCAGCCTCGGGATGCTTGCCAGCAGCTGCGCCTCGCCGCGGGCGTTCCAAGGGTGCCCAGATCGTCCCCAACGCCCGCCGGAGACCCCTGCCTCCTCCCGATCCTGCCGTCTCCTGCCTCCTCCCCCTCCTCCACCCCGCCTGCTCGCCCATCCCCATCCTCAGTACTGAGAGGGAGGGGGAGGAAGGGAAGGAGGGAGGAATAGAGGGAGGGAGGCAACTTTAGGACGTCGCTGAAGGGGTGTCCCGCATATGGCCATGAACCAGTATTTCGCGCTCAGGAAAATGATCCAGGCGAAGGACCCAACCATACGCAGCTGTGAAAACCAGTTGTGAATATCGTCTTCGGCGAAGCTCCCCATGGATCCACGCAGAGTTTGAGGGGTGCGCCGAAATGGGGGTGGAACTGCATGCGACCCCTGCATATGGGGCCTTCGGCGGAGCTCCCTATGGCGCCATGAAGCGCGCGTGTGTGTGTGTGTGTGTGTGTCTGTGTGTGTGTGTCTGTGTCTGTGTCTGTGTCTGTGTCTGTGTCTGTGTCTGTGTCTGTGTCTGTGTCTGTGTCTGTGTCTGTGTCTGTGTCTGTGTCTGTCTGTGTGTTTTTGTCTGTGTGGGGGGCCGAATAGGGGGTAGAAATGCACGCGGACCCTGCCACTGCGGCCGTCTGTGGAGCTCCCTGTGCGGCCACGAAACGTGTGAATGATGTGCCGAAATGGGGAACTGGGGGTGGAACCGCATGCGAGACCTGCCATTGGGGCCATCGGCGGAGCTCCCTATGGAGCCACGAAGCGTGCGAGGGGTGCGCCGAAATGGGGATGGAACCGCATGCGAACCCTGCCACGGGGGCCTTCGGTGGAGCTCCTTATGGGGGCACGAAGCGTGTGAGGGGTCAGCCGAAATGGGTGTGGAACCGCATGCGAACCCTGCCACTGGGTTCTCGGTGGAGCTCCCTGTGAGGGCAGGAAATGTGTGAGGGGTGCGCCAGAATGGGGGTTGAACCGCAGCGAATCCTGCCGCTGCGGCCGTTTGTGGAGCTCCCAGTGGGGCTACGACACGTGTGAGGAATGCGCCGAAATGGGGGTGAAACCGCATGAGAACCCTGCCACTGGGGCCTTTGGTGAAGCTCCCCATGGATCCACGAAGCGTTTGATGGGTGCGCCGAAATGGGGGTGGAACTGCATGCGAACCCTGCATCTGGGGCCTTCGGTGGAGCTCACTAGGTGGGCCACGGAGCGTAGGGATGTCCCGGGATAGACATGCGGAGGGCCGAGGCAATGGTGGGAGGAGGGAGGAGGAGAGGAGATGGAAGAGGAAGGAGACGCAGGGCGCTGTCTCTTCAAAACGAAGGCCCGACACCACAAGATGGTTGGTGAAGCAACAACATACCATGTGAAATCGCACACCTCACCACCCTGTTCTGGTTGGTTGTCTTCTGGAGAATGTCAAACAATTCGGGAGGGACGGGACGGGAGGGGGATGGGGGCGGCTCCTAAAGCAGAGCTCCTGGCGTGGAAAGGGGGAATGGCGCAGGGCGACTTCGACATGCCTGTCTTGGCCCCGGGCAGCAGAATCATGACGAGGATGAGAAGCACGAGGAGGAGGAGGAGGAGGAGGAGGAGGAGGAGGAGGAGGAGAAGGAGGAGGAGGAGGAGGAGGAGGAGAAGGAGGAGACAGATGGGGAGGATACGGAGACGACACAGGCACCATCTTCGCACTCTGTGCGAGAGAGGAGGATCAGGATTAGGAGGAGAACGAGGAGGAGGAAGGGCAGCAGGATGAGGACGAGGAAGCGGCAGGGACGCCGTACTCGCAGGCGCTATGCGAGGAGTGCGCTGGGCGGGTGCTTACCAAGTCTCGCCCTGGCTTGCGACAGCGTCTTTATGAGGTAATGCGCACTGCCTGTTGACAATTGCCAGTGTGCGTATTCTTTTCGCACGCGTAGATCCCAGCGTTTGCCCCAACGATGTTTGTTTCAGCTTCGTACCTGCGTCTTGCCGGCTAGCGACAGAGCCCACTGTAGCCCGCCTTTCCGAATTGTGCTGACTACGGCATTTTAGCAGGCTAGGGCGACACACGATCGAACCCACATCATGTAGACGGCGCGATCAATGTTGGGGTCGTCTTCGGTCTGTCTTGGGTCGTCTCGGGCTGGACGTCGAACATGTGTTCAATGCATCTGGCTTCTCGCGGGCCCTTTTGGAAACTCTGGGGAGCATAGCATCTTGGGGGACTGTTGGGGCATGTTGGCTGCCTGTCAACTTGTTGTGGGCCGTCTTGGCGAATGCTTGGGCCGTCAACGGGCCTCCCTGGAGCAATGTCGCGGACTCGGCTTGTGGCTCGTGGGCCCCGGCGGCTCTCTGTGGCACTCTGGCGGCCTTCTCGGGGCAGCCTTTGGGCCTGCCTTGAGCCGTCTCGGGGCGCTCCTGGCGCCTGGGAACACCATGGGGCTTGCGTTGGCGCCGCTTGGGCCCCTCTGCGTCCTTTGGGAGCGCTCCGATGCCCTGTGGGACTGGGTTCTCTGGGAACGCCCTCGTGTCCTCCTGTGGGGCTGCCCCTGGGGGCAGATTTGCTTCTCGCCTGCCTCCTGCAGCCCCTCTCCTGCCTCCCTGCGGCTCCTCTCCGCGGCAACTTCTGCCTCCCTCCTCTGGGACTGCCCCTGGGACAACAAATTTGCTTTTCGCCCGCCTCCTGCAGCCTCTCTCCGCGACAACTTCTGCCTCGGGTCCGCCGCTCGACGGCGCGGGCCCCCCCGGCGGAGCCGCGAGGGCTCCCGCGCGCGACGCGCCGAGGGGGCGCCGCGGGGCCGGCGGGGCAGCCTCGGCCTTGCAGCGGTCGCGAGGCGCCCACCCCCGACGGCGAGGGGGGCCGCGCTGTGGGCTCACCCCTGGCGGTGCCCCCGTGGAGCGAGGGCGAGGTGGGAGAGGAGCAGGGGAACAGAAAGTGGCATCAGCATAGAAAAACTCGGAGGTCCGCGCGGCTTTCTCGGATCGGCGCTGGGGCCCCCCGGTCCCCAGCCGCTCGCCCTGGCGGTGTCCCCGTGGAGCGAGGGCGAGGCGGGAGACTTCATGGACTGCGGCACCACCGGGTCGGACTTCATGGACTGCGTGCGCACTGTCAAGGGCGTACGTGCTGTGGCGACCGTCGCCGGCGCTGCTGCCACCGAGGCCCCGCCCGCTGAAGGCGCGATAGCGGGCACCATTAGGGGAACAGAAAGTGGCATGAGCATCAAGACTCGGAGGTCCGCGCGGCTTTCTCGGATCGGCGCGGGGGCCCCCCGGCGGCGCCTCCGGCGCCGCCCCCGGCGCGCTCCGCGCGCCAGGGAGGGGGGTCCGGCGCCCATCCGAGGAATCCGCGCGGACCTCCGAGTTTCTATGTTTATGTCACTTTCTGTTCCCCTGAGGAGTGCCCCGTCTGCAAAAAAAAACCTGGGCAGACGAGACCCAAGAGGAGCCACGAGCCTCCCGACGGGTGCGTGGGGCATGCGGCTCCGCCTGTGCCAGGGCGCACGTCGGGAGGGGCAACATACGAATCCTGCGCCTGTCAGCGGCGCGCCCGATCATCGGACTTAAAATGCACGGAACAACTCTCCCTCGCGGCTGATACAAATCTTACACAAATTGCTCGCGAACGCCGAATTAAATCCAGCCACAATCTTTTCACCGTGGATCACATGCAGATCGCAATTCAAACAACAACACGCTGCAGTTGCGCCTCTTACAAGTTAACTAGTATGTGGAATTTGCTGCCAAGGCGAACTACGTAGGCACTTCGTGTGCTCTGAGCCCCCACCTTTTCTCGCTCGAATCACACTTCCCTCCCTCTCGCTCGATTGACACTCCCCCTGGCCGCCATTCATAATGAGGGCCCTCGCAACTGGCGCAGCTCCCCCTGTTCGTCTCTACGCAGGCAACACCAGTGATGGCTTCAATGGTGAGACCTGCAGGGTGAGAGAGCAGGCGAGCCATGCGAAGACGAGACCTGTGCAGGCGAGAGCTGTGACGGCCATACGCTTCCATGCGCAGGCCAGTCCTAATTCGACTGAAATGATTTAAGACAATCCTTGCATGCCCAGGCTGCGTCCTGCGTGCAGATAACGAGAAGCCTGGTGGTCGCAGGCGACGCGCGCTTGACAGCTCGCACCACTCTGGGAATCATCAAACATGTTCGCGAACAGGTCGACTGATACACGCGGATCGAAGCCAGCAAACTCAATGTTGAAGCATCGCTATGCTTTCGCGTGCTCCAAACGCGGGTGAGTTCCCTCACACGTGCAGGCTGATCGCACAAACGATGAACAGAACATGTCATCCCATGTCCAACTCAACGAGCCTGCACTTGCGATTGCTTACCCAACCACCTACATATCGCAATAAGTCCTGTTGGTGATGAGAGACCTCATGTTGCACATCGACTGTGAATTACGACGCGCTGGCGCCCAAGGGAAAGAGCGATGAAGGGCCTCTTGGTGCGGCAAACGGACCTCACGATCCCATCGACGAAACCGCGCCGAGGGTGCCGTTCAGGCAGGGCGAGTCCTGCCAGAGTCCAGCACCTGTGAGGGTCAACGTCGGGGATGGACAGACCCCCCTTTAGTAAAACGTGGTTTAGTGAAAACGACCTGAGGCCCAAACCTGGCGGGCGCAAGCCTGGAACATAACGGCCACGGCGCCCTCTCGAGAACCAAAAACGGACAATTCACTAATCGACGTGTCACTGTTGGGGGTTCTGTCCACCCCCGATAACGCTAAGGAGGGACCTGGCTCAGGAGGGGGAAACACTGGTCCGGTGAGACACCGTCGGCAAGTCGGCGATGGGCCCCCGATGCCGAAACCGCACGCTCCTGTGCGGGGATAGGTCATGGGGCCCCTATCTGACTACCTACCACCCCAACCCAACCCGAAGACCCGAATTTCGGGTTGGGGGGGGTAAGGGTTCCACATGCGTTTTTTCGATGTTTCCCGACCCCCCCCACTGGAAATCGAGGGTAAATCTGAGCCTTCGGGTTGGGTTGGGGTGGCTTGGTGGGTGGTGACCATCTGAGATCAGTGAACCATAAGCAGGGAGTCGACGTATCCCCCCTGAGCCTCGGCCCACCCCTGGTGGTGGCACCCTCGGCTTAGGGGTCATGCCTCGGGCCTCCGGCGGCCCCGGGGGAACGATCCTGGCACCCCCGGAGCGCTCTCGGCGCGGCGCAGCCCCTGGACAGCACGCCGAGGCCGGAGAACCGACGAGACCCGCGGAACACGAGTGAAAACCTCGAGCCTTGGATCTCCCCGAGCACCTGCCACCGCAGCACGGCCTTCTTCCCCTCGTCGAAGCGGGCGGCCCGCAGCGCCAGGCGGCGGGCGGCGGCCACCCTGCCCTGCTGCGTCTCGAGCAGCGCCCACGCGGTGAGGAGCGTGGCCAGCCACCGGAGCGCCTCGCCGAGCATCGCGGTCTCCTGCGGCCCCGGGGAGAAGCCCTTCGGCCACCAGACGTGCTGCCTGCTGTCGACCCTGGCACCGGTGTCTCTGAACATCAGCTCCTGCACCCTCCGGCAGCCCTGGTTGAAGGCGACCTGCGCCCTGTCCAGGCGCCCGAGCGCCTTCTCCGTGAGGGCCAGGTTCAGCGCGGTGTGGGCGGCGGCCACCGCCGCCGCCACCTCCGAGACCTCGGGCAGCTCGCCCCTCTCCTAGGTGAAGAAAAAACGGTACAAACATAAACTTTTGGCGCTCCGCGCGGATCTCTGGGATCTGCGCTGGACCCCCTCCCTGGGGCGCGGAGCGCGCCAGGGGCGGCGCCGGAGGCGCCGCCGGGGGGGGGGCCCAGCGCGGATCCAAGAAATCCGCGCGGAGCGCCAAACGCTTATGTTGATGGCGTTTTTGCGTCTTCGATCTCCTGCATGGCGATGGACCTCCGGTACGCCCTCGCGGCCCTGCCGAAGTCCCTGCTCTTCCGGAGGCGCACGGCCTCGTAGCTGATGCTGGCCAGCCGCCGAAAGCCTGGGCTCGCCGGCCCCGCCGCCCGCGGGCGCGCCGCGCCGCGGAGGGCCTCTTGGCGGCACGCACAAGGGGGTCCTCCTCCTCCTCCTCCTCCTCCTCCTCTCCTCCTCCTACCTCCTCATCCTTCCCTCCTCCTCCTCTCCTCCTCCTTATCCTCCTCTCCTCTCCTCCCTCCCTCCCTCCCTCCTCCCTCCTCCTCCCTCCTCCCTCCCTTCTTCCTCCTCCTCTCTCCCTCTCCTCTCCTCCTCCTCCCCCTCCTCCTCCCTTCCTCCTCCTCCCGTCCTCCCTCCTCCTCCTCCTCCTCCTCCTCCTCCTCCTCCTCCTTCTCCATTTCTTCTCCTTATAACTAATTTTTCCCTGTCGCACCCCGAGGCCAGTTTTTTGGGCGGGCTGAGCGTTGTGCCTGACATATCCTCTCCATTTATGACTCTGTTCTGAAAACTTAGCAACAATTTCACAGATGGAGGGCGGGTCGTTCTCAAAATGTGGCTCTCGCCTTAGCGCGGCGCACGCTCGTTGTCCAAATTTGCAAGGGTTTCACGGATTGAGGGCGAGTGGCTTTCAAAATGTGGCTGTCGCTTTTGCGCGGCACACATTCGTTGTAGATATGTTCGAGAGGTTCACGGATTGGGGGCGGGTGGTTTTCAATATGTGGCTCTCGCCTTGGCGCGGCGCACATTCGGTTTATCAAATTGCAAGAGTTTCACGGATTGGCGGCGGCTTCTTTTCGAAATGTGGCTCTCGCCTCAGTGCCGCGCGCATTCGATTACAGCATTTGCAAGAGTTTCACGGATTCCCATCATCAGCGTACCAAAAATTGTGTTTTGAACGGATTCAGGATTATGCGGGTGCAGTGCTTACGCTGATTCACTGTGTTGAAGTTTCAAGAGTGACAGTCTGGCATGATCCAGGATCGTCAAAACGCAACAGTCAGGTTGATCCGTGGCGTTGGAATCCCGAGATCAATCGTTTGGCATGCGTCAAGGTCTTCAAACAGTTGTCTTCCAACGAAGCAGTACCTTCAACCGTTGTGGGGGTCTATGAAGAGGGAGCTTGGAGGAGGGTTTATTATCTTGCACAGGGTGTCTAGAGCTCCGACCATTTTATTCCGCGTCGCACACCCACCTCCCCCCGCACCTCCCCTCGCGTCCCCGGCGCCACAGTGGGACCCCCGCTCCGCGGCCCTCTGCCCCGAGCCCACTCGGCGTCCCCAGCGCCCCAATGGGAGCCCTGCCCATTGCCCCTTCCGCCATGAACGCTTTATTCCGCGTCGCACGCCCACCTCGCCCCGCACCTCCCCTCGCGTCCCCGGCGCCACAATGGGACCCCCGCTCCGCGGCCCTCTGTCCCGAGCTCACCCGCGTCACCAGCGCGCCAGTGGGTGGCCCGCCCATTGCCCCCCCCGCCACGAACACTTTATTCTGCGTCGCACCCCCCCCCCTCCCCCGCCCCTCACCCCGCGCACCCGGCGCCGCAGTGGGCCACCCGCTCCGCGGCCCTCTGCCTCGAACCCCCCCCGCGCCCCCAGCGCAGCAGTGGGGGCCCCGCCCATGACCCTCTCCGCCGCGAACGTTTCATTCCGCGTTGCACACCCACCTCCCGCCGCCCATCCCCCCGCGCCCCCAGCGCCACAATGGGGCCCCTGCTCCGCGGCTCTCTGCCCCGAGCACCCCCCGCGTCCTCAGCGCCCCAATGGGGGCCCCGGCCATCATTCACTCGGCCGCGAACGTTTTATTCCGCGTCGCAGGGCCCCCCGCTCCGCGGACCTACGCCCCAAGCCCCCCCGCGTCCCAGCGCCCCCGTGGGGGCACCGCCCGTTGCCCCGTCCGCCACGAATGCTTTGTTCAGCGTCGCGCGCCCACCTCCCCCCGCCCCTCCCCCCGCGCCCCCAGCGCCACAGTGCGCCCCCCGCTCCGCGGCCCTCTGCCCCGAGCCCCCCCCGCGTCCCTAACGCCCCAGTGGGGGCCTCGCCCATTGCCCCCTCCGCCACGAACGGTTGATTCCGCGTCGCGACGCACACCACATCCACCCGCTCCTCCCCCCGCGCCCCCAGCGCCACAGTGGGGGCACCCGCTCCGCGGCCTTCTGCCCCGAGCCCCACCGCGTCCCCAGCGCCCCAGCGGGGGCCCCGCCCATTGCCCCTTCCGCCACGAACGTTTCATTCTCTTGCGCAGGGTGTCTGGAGCTCCGACAACTTTATTCCGCGTCGCGAAGCACACCCACCTCCCCCTCCTCACGCACCACATCACCACCTCCCCTCCCCCAGTGGGGGCCCCGCCCACTGCCACCTGCGGCGCGCACCACCTCCCCAACCTTTCCCCCCGCGTCCCCAGCGCCCCAGTCGGCCCCCCGCCCAATTCCCTCTCCGCACCGACAACTTTCTTCCGCGTCGCGACGCACACCGCCTCCCCCACCCCTCACCCCACGCCCCCACGCCACAGTTGGCCCCCCTCCCCGTGGCCCTGTGCCCCGACCCCTCCCCGCCTCCCCAGCGCCCCAGAGGGGGCCCCGTCCATTGCCCCCTCCCCCACGAACGTTTTATTCCGCGTCGCGACGCAACCCACCTCCCGCCGCCCATCCCCCCGCGCCCCCAGCGCCCCAGTGGGAGCTCCGCCCCGTGCCCTCTCCGCCCCGACAATTTCATTCCGCCGTCGCGACGCGCGCCACCTCCCCCCCTCCCCCCAACGTCCCCAGCACCCCAATGGGACGCCCGACCTCCCCGTACCCCCCCGCGTCCCCAGCGCCAGAGTGGGACCCCCGCCCCGTGGCTCTCTGCCCCAAGCCCCCCCGCGTCCCCAGCGCCCCAAAGGGGGCCCCGCCCATCTGCCCCTCGCCACGGAACGCTTGAGGGAGGAGTCGCGACGACACCACCTCCACACCCTCCCTCCCGCGTCCCCAGGCCCCAGTGCGGTCTCCGCCCCGTGCCCCTCCGCCCGACCCCCGACAATTTCATTCTGCGTCGCGAACGCAGCCGCCTCCCCCTCCCCCCCGTCCCCCCAGTTGGACCTCGCCGCCCCGTGGCCCTTCTGCCCTGCTCCAAGCCCCGCTCAATGCCCCCTCCACCCGACAATTTTATTCCGGTTTTTTGTAGCGACGCTACCACCCCCTCACCACCCCCCCCCCCCCCCTCTCCCTCCCCCCACCGCGTTCCTAGCGTCCCGGGTTTTAGGAGCCCAGCCCAGTCACCCCGAGCCCACCCGCGCCCCCAGCGCTCTAGTAGGAGCCCCGCCCACAACCCCCTCCGCCACGAACGTTTCCTTCAGCGTCGCGACGCACACCACCTCCCCCACCTCCTCCCTCGCGTCCCCAGCGCCCCAGTCGGCCCGAGCCCAACCGACTGCCCCCTCCGGCCCGACAATTTTATTCCGCGTCGCGGCGCACACCACCTCCCCCCCCCGCGTCACCAGCGCCCCAGTGGAACCCCTGCCCCGTGGGCCTCTGCCCCGAGTCGCCCCGCGTCCCAGCGCCCCATGGGATCTCCGCCCCGTGCCCCCTCCGCCCCGAGCAGTTAATTCCGCGTCGCGACGCACGCCACCTCCTCCCCTCCCCCCCGCGTCCTCAGCGCCCCAGTGGGCACCCGCCCCGTGGCCCTCTGCCCCGACTATTTTATTCCGCGTCGCGACGCACACCACCCTTTCCCCCCGCGCCCCTTGCGCCCCAGCGCCCCGGTGGGACCCCCGCCCCGTGCTTCTCCGTCCCGACCACTTTATTCCGCGTCGCGACGCACACCACCTCCCCCCCCTCCTCTCCGCGCCCCTAGTGCCCCAATGGGACCTCCGCCCCGTGCCCCCTCCGCCCCGAGCACTTTATTCCGCGTCGCGACGCACACCACCTCCCCCCGTCCCCACCTGGGATTTGGGCACCGTTGCTGGGCCCCGAGGGGCAATGTCTTGCCCCCTCTTCCCCGCTCCTCCTCCACCTCCTTCTCCTCCTGCCCCTTTTTTGTGCAACAGCCATGGCGCAATGCCACTTGTTCGTTCCAACATCATTGATGGCTCGTGGGTTTACAAGTCCTCCTCCTCCTCCTCCTCCTCCTCCTCCTTCCCTCTCCTCCTTCCCTCCTCCTTCCCTCTCCTCCTTCTCCTCCTCCTCCTCGTCCTCGTCCGCGTCCTCGTCCCTCGTTCCCCCCCTTCCCTCCCCTCCTATGCTCTCCTCTTCCACTTCCCTCCTCCTTTTCCTCCTCCTCCTCTCCTCCTCCTCCTCCTCCTCCATCTCCTCCTCCTCCTCTCATCTAATCCTCATCCTCCTCCTCCTCATTCTTCTTCTTTCGTACTATCCTCCTCCTCTCTCTCTCCTCCTCTCTCTCTCCTCCTCCTCCTGTTCCTCCTTTTGCTCCTCTCCCCTTCCCCTCCAACTCCTCCTCCCCCATCTCCTACTCCTCTCCTGCTCTCCTTCTCCTCCTTCTGCTCTTCCTGTCCTCGTCCCTTCCCTCCTCCCTCCTCCTCCTCTCCTGCTCCTCCTCCTCCTCCTCCTCCTCCTCCTCCTCCTCCTCTTCCTCCTCTTCCTCATCCTCCCCTATGGGGTACGGGGGAAGGCTTCGTAGAAGGAGGCTGCTTCTCAGACGGCGCCGGCCTCACATCTATAGACAAGGCCCGCGCCGTCTAAGAAGCAGGTGCTCCCAAGAAGCCTTGCCCCCTCCCCGTTACCTGAGGGGCAACGATAATGGGGGACTGGCATAAGGGGGGGATGCATCGACCTGGCATCGGCGATGCATCGCCGACAGATCGGCGATAAGCCTCCGATCGTGAATCCGCACCTCCCTGGGCAGCTTGGGGCCATCAGGCCCCCGTCGGCGATCAATGGGCGATTGGGGGTCGGTGCGTCCCCCCCTACATGCACATCCCCTGATCTTACCTGGTATTGCCCTGCACATGTCACCCCATGCTACCTGACAGATCCCCCTGCACGTCCCCCCTGTCGCTGCCCCTGGCATTAGAGTCGGGGCCTTGACCTAAGGAACCCCAAATAAGGAACGAGGCCCCTTTTTGCCATAAGTTGAACTTCGATTTCCGATCGAAAACATAAGGAAAACCTGAGGCAAGCTGCGAAACACTGAAGGAACGCGGAGCCCCTCCCCAACGAAAAGGGTTCCTTCTTCAGGGCCCCGACTGTACCCCCCTCTGCGCGTGGCCGCGCCTTGGTGTAGTGCGCCAGGGCCGCGTCCGCGTTCGCGGCCGCGGGCCCGCGGAGGCGGCCCGGCGGCAGCGCGCCGGCCGTGGAGGGCCACGGCCCCCCGCGGCCGCGCGGGGCCTGGGCGCAGGGCGCCCGGGCCGCGCCGGCGGCGGCGGGCCCGCCGGGGCGGCCCGGCGCGGCCGCGCCGGCCGCGGCCGCCGCCGCGGCGAGGAGCCCGCGGGCGGAGGCCGCGCCGCGGGCGGCGCGGGGCGGCGCGGCCCGGCGCCCGCGCCTCGCCGGGCCGCCGCGCCCGCCGGGCGCCATGGCGCGCGGGGGGCCTCTCCGGAGCTCGCAGGTGGAGGGGCGCCGGCAGAGCGAGGAGCACAGGCCCAGACAGGATGCCCGGGTCTAACAAACAAAAATCCGGGCGGGAGGGTTTGGGCCGTTTTCGGCCTCGGGGGCCCTCGCCGGGCCTCGGGGTCGTCAAAGAACGGCTCAGGACGAAAAACCGGTCCCAGGGAAAGGGTCGGGACTTCCAGGGACCCCGTATTCAAAAAATCAGGACGTCGCATCTCTTGGAACGGGTCTTGCGCGAGATGACGTGAGGACCCTGCGCCGCAGCTTAAGCGGGCCGCCAGCGCGGCACACTACATTGGAGACGAGGGCGCTTATCCGCGACCTTGCGCGGGCAGCTTACGCGCCAATGTCGGCGCAGAGGACTCGTTTTTGGGCGTCGCTCAGCTGGAGCGGTCAAAGACGGGCCTTGAGCCAGAAAGGCTACGGATGGGCTGCCCTATAGGCCCGTGTTGGGCCTGCTCGAGGACGTCCTGGGCCATGCTGGACCACGTCACGGCGGCCTTCGGGGAATCGTAGTGCAGCTTTGGGGCCCGTCTTCGACTGCCTTGTGTCCATCTGGGCCATGCTGGACCACGTGAGGGCGTTGGGGAGGCCTTCGGGGAATCGTGATGCAACCTTGGGGCCGTCTTCGGCTGCCTTGCGCCCATCTGGGCCCGTTTCGGGCGAACAACGAGCCCACGACGGCCCTGAGACGGCTCCAAGACTGCCAAAGACAAGCCTAGCACGACTCCACAAAACACCCACACAGCTCACGAGGAACGCTCCAGTTGAGCTCTCGAGTATCAAAGCCCTTCGGTCACACATTGACTTTCCTTTGAAAACGTCGGTGGCCTAATCCGCCGAACGTGTCGGCGTGTGTGAGAGGCTTACTCGTTTGAGTCGTCGTCGTCGTCGTCGTCGTCGTCGACGTCGTCGCCGCTCCCCCTCAAGCGTTCCAGCCAAAGGGAAAACGAGCAACGTCGCAATCGAATCGAAGGAGGCCCCTTCCCGTTGATCCCTCCTCCGCCAGGTGGGGGTGGGGGTGGGGTGGGGGGTCCCGGCGGGGTGGGGGCGTGGACAGGGGTGTGGGGGGGTGGTCCCAGGGGCTGTGATACCCCCCACCCTCTGGGGGGAGCACCCCTCCCTGGGAGAAGCTTTCGGGTCCCGAGCGTCAGCGTCGTCGTCGTCGTCGTCGTCGTCGTCGCCGTCGTCGTCCCCCTTCAGGTCGGCAGCACCAGCCGTAAAAACCTTCGCAACATGGCTTCGGCACGGCCTCATCAAGCTGCAGGGCAGCCCGTGAGGGAGCGACGGACGCAGCCCTGCGACGCACACACACGCGCGCCAGCACACGGAAGGAGCACGGCCTCCCGCTTGCTGGGGCCCTCATATGGTGTGGCGCAGCGCAGGTGGATCTGAAGGCACCCCGCCCGCTTCGGCTCTCCAACGCGTGGCTGCGCCACTGCTCTCTGAATCACGGGCGGTCCCGCGGAGGAGCGGCGCCTCGGCGCGGGCCCGGCGAGACACCGCTCCCCTCGGCGCTCCGTCGCCCCGCCGCCCCGCGAGAGGGCGCACCGAGGCCTCGCCCCCCCCCCCCCGGCGGCGGCCCCGAGCGCGAGGCGGAGGCGGCTCCCTGCGGCCCTGGGCGGGCCTGATGAACCCTCGCCTCCCTGAGGTGCGCAGACTCGCCGCTTCCCCACCCCCTGGCGGATTCTGCGGGGTGGCCTGTGCACGCGGGCGTTCCACGAGGCCTCGCCCCTCTTCTGGTGGCCCCCCCCCCGTCACCCAGGCCCGCCGGCACTCTGCGGGCCCCCTGGGGATCCCGCAGAGTGCCCCCTCCGCCCAGGCGCAACTCAATGAGACCTCCCGCCCCCACGTGCTCCCAACGAACTGCGCGGGGAGGCGCGCGACCCATTCGATGCAAATGGCGACAGCTAAAACGTACGTGGAGCCTCTTGTGAAAAGCTGCTGGGAAAGAGGCGTTGTGATGAACGATCACCACCCCTGCTTGACGCCCCCCCCAGAGGCGCAGGACCGTGGCGACAGCCGTGCGACTGGGCAGCACCTGGGGGAGGCGAAGCCTTCCTCGCTTGGGCCCGCGTAGGCCCACCACTCCTTTGAATCTAAGGTGGGGGGGTGGGGGGGTCAAGAACGTGACGGCAGCTGACCGCACGGCAACACCCAGGGGTACCCATGGCCGCGCGCGTGCGTGGACGGGCTCACCACTCCGCTGGACCGGGACGGGACGCACGAGCTGCGACAGCTATCCGCCCCGCAGCACCGAAGGGGGGTGGAATATCATTGTGGGCACCTGCGCGGCTCACCATTTTGCCGCCCCCGCCACCACGGAGTTCCCAACAGATTGGAGAGTTCCTTGGCGACTTTCCTACTACAGTGCGGGAAGTGCAACCAACGATTCGTACAGGTAGTGGTGGTGGTAAGAATTGCTAGGCGTATGTAAGGTTGTGCTAAGCTTTTACGAGGCTTTGGTGAGCTTCTGTAAGGCGCATGAGAAACTCATGAGAGGCTGCCAAGACGCCTTGAGACGCTTCTGAGAAGTTTCCGATAATGTGTTGAGAAGCTTCTGAGCGGCTAATGAAGCTTATGATAAGCTTGTGGGAGGCTTATGATAGGCAGAGGCTTCTGAGATGCGTTTGCGGGGCTTCAGACAAGCTTCTGCGAAGCTAGTGCGAAGCTTCTTAGAGGATTATGACAGGCTTTTGCGCGGCTTCCGGAATCCTTTTGCTAAACTTCTGAAAAAGGTGTTCGCGAAGAACCGGACGGCTTGTACGAAGCGTTCGACTGGCTTTTGTTGCGAGATTCCTGGCATCCGTTATGTTTGTGCAAAGATTTTAAAGTGCTTCCCAAAAACTTAAAGGCTTTCGAATAGCTTCAGAGAGGCGCCGTGGTAGCCTCTGACAGGCTTCAGAACATGCTTATGAAACGCTTGTGCGACGCTCCCGAGAAGCTTTTGCGATGTGTCTTGGAGCCCTTCAGGAGCCCTCTGCGGCAGTCTCGAGCTCTATTGAGCCATCTTGTAGCTGTTTCGAAGCTGCTGTAGGGTCTCGCGGGCTACTGTAATGATCGCCTGCGTACCGTGGTATTTGCAGGCGTACTGTGGTGCTTGCATGTTTCGCCCATTGTTGCCGCTCCGCGGCTGCTTGGGCTCAAATTGCATGTAACCATTGCGACATGTTGTGCGTTCTCTTGCGCCACACTACTTCCAAATGAACAGACGTTGTGTATTCTGCCAACCGTTTACCCTGAAAGCGGCGACACGGTCACGACTGGAGAATAACCCTACGCGCCGAGAGTCTCATCACCACGGAAAGGACACACTGCCATCATGGGGCTACCAGCATGCGCAACCTCCGTAGTGTCAGACTCTGCGGTGCTATGTTTGTTAAAGTCTTTGCGCTACCCTATGCGACTATAATGATTTTACTCGGGTTTTCACCCCAGAACTTTCCCCCATCGTCCTGATTGCGAATCTCCGTTGCGAGTCACACTGGCAACTTGAAACACAAGTGTGCGCAACTTCCGTTGAACACCGAACCGAGCCGTACGGGCTTCTGGCACGCAGCCAGGCGATAAAGCCAGTCCACCAGGACAAATGTGGCGACGGTCGAAAGCCTCCCCAGTGCTCAGGGTGAGCCACGCCTCGCTCGGACCCCTGCAAGCCCGCCACCCCGCCGGACCCACGAGGGGCGAAGGAGATTGAAGGATAGTTGCCTGCCTGGCAACACCCAGGGAGGGCGATGCCTAAATAGTCTTGGTCTGCGTGGCCCACCGCTCCGGTGGACCCATCATGGGCGCAGAATAGCTGCGGCAGTTGGACGCCTGGCACCACCCGGGGAGGGCGGAACCTGCACGGCCGGACAGCCTGCGAACAGCTCGCAGGGGGCGAGGGGACCTCCACAGCTGGGCAGGGGCGAGGTCATCTTCGGTCGGGCGTGTCCCCCTACAGGCGGATTTCGGACGGCAACTGAAACATGATCAAACAACGCGAGGAAATAATCCCACATGGTAAGACAAATCGTCCCCATATTTTTATTAAAAACTGTTTTTGAATATTCCTCCTGTAGAGGGGACACGCCCGACTTACAAGGTGACCTTCAGGGGAAATCTCTGCACGCCTCACGAGTCCTGAGTGGCGACGGCTGCACGCCTGGCCGCCCGGCTGGCAACACCCGAGCGAGGCGAGGCCTCGCTCCGCCATCTGCGCGGCTCGCTTCTCCGCCGGACTTTCTCTCCCCATGGGGCGCAGGAACATGGCGGCGGGTGCACGCCTGGCGCCGCCTGGGCACGGCGAGGCCTCGTTGGCATCTGCGTGGCAAGTCGAGCAAGTCGAGGCCTCGTTGGCAGTCTGCGTGGCTCACTTTTCCGCTGGACTCTCTCCCCTGGGGCGCAGGAACATGGCGGCGGGCGCACGCCTGGCGCCGCCTGGGCATGGCGAGGCCTCGTGCGGCGCAGTCGCGTGGCGACAGTGGCACGCCTGGCACCAGCCATGAGAAGACAAGAATAATTACAGGAAGCGACCAGGGAAGCGAGCGGGAAAGTGGGAGGAGGGGGCGGGAGCAGAGGGACGGATCAACAAGTGCTCTGTTCAAGCCAATGGCTTAGCGAAAAAACTGCCGTTCTGGAATCCTGGGGGATCCCGTTGCCCCACGCAGCGCAAACCGAATCCGACGTTGCCTCCCCGAGAGCTCCAAGAAACTGAACTGTCGCCACTTTCTGAACCACGGGTGTCCCGCGGAACGCTCTCCCCCACACCCCCACAACCACCCACCTGGCCTCCCTCACCGCAAAAACTCTGCATACTCGTGGCCACTTCGTAATGCCCTCGGATGTTCCGCGCAAAGCCCTCCACGTGCAACTATAGCCAGGCCTCACCTCCGCATGTGATCCTGCACGTAGAGACCTCGCTTCTTCTGAACCCCTCGGGGTTTTTGTATCCCCCCCCGGGTCGAGGTTCTCGGCCCCCGCCCCGAGATGGGATGGGCGGACGACGACGACGACGACGACGACGACGACGACGACGACGCCGCCGACGCCGCCGCCGCCGACGCCGCCGACGACGCCGCCGCCGCCGCCGCCGCCGCCGCAACACCACCCCGTACCCACAGGGGGGAGGGGCACCTGCACTCCCCGCCACCCCACGCTCAGGGGACGAAGAGGAGGAGGATGAGGGAGGAGGAGGAGGAGGAGGAGGAGGAGGAGGAGGAAGAGGAGGAGGAGGACGAGGAGGAGGAGGAGGAGGAGACCAGCGTAAGAGAAGAGGAGGAGGAGGAGGAGGAGGAGGAGGAGGAGGAGGAGGAGGAGGAGGAGGATTAGGAGGAGGAGGAGGATTAGGAGGAGGAGGAGGAGGAGGAGGAGGAGGAGGGAGAAGGAGGAAGAGGAAGGGGTTGGGGAGGAGGCGAGGGATGAGGAGAAGGAGCAGCAACAGCAGCAGCAGCATCGGGCGCACGGAGGAGGGGGGGGAAGAGAAGGGAGGGGGGGAGGCGAGGTGGGGAGACGGGGAGATGGGGGACCTGGATGCAGCTCCACCTTAGCTGCCCCGATACGCAACACGCAACCCGTAACGTGGTGACACGGAGCTTAACACGTAGACTGAACACGCAGGTCAGGCATGAAACGTTCGCCACAACGTGGGCCAACACGGTGAGCCAACACGCAACGTGTCAACACGGGCGTTGTGAACACCGCACTTGTTGCGTTTCAAGACGGGCGTACGAGGGTAGCTAAGATAAAATAAGAAAACACGCAATAAACATAAACTTTTGACGCTCCGCGCAGATTTCTTGGATCCGCGCCGGACCCACTCCCTAGCGCGCGGAGCTCGCCAGGGGCGGCGCTGGAGGTGCCGCCGAGGGGGCCCAGCGCGGATCCAAGAAATCCGCGCGAAGCGCCAAAAGTTTGTGTTGATGGCGTTTCTTTCTTCTCCGAAGCTAAGAGCCCCACCCGCCAGCACCCCCCTCTCTCTGGACTTCAAGCGACACGCCGCCAGTCGCAGCCCGCCCCTCCGCCCTGCCGCTCCCCCCCCCCTCCCCGAGCCTATACCCCCCCGAGCGTTGCCTCTGATCGGATACTGTCGAGTCGAGCCGTGGGCCGGTCGGCGCAAGAGGCCTTCGCCGAACGAAGAATACCTGTGGTCGCAGTCCCGAGAAGGTCTCCAACTGTTCGGGGAAAGCTGGGGACGTCCAAGGAAAAGTTTTTGGAGGCCTGGAAATTGGCACCAACACCAACACAGGGGTTTGCCTCCGCAAGGGGAAGATGATCCTAGATTTCAGTGTTGGTGGTAATATTTCGGCCACCCTGGAAGCCGGAATATCACCACCATCGCCGAGATCGGGATCTTCTTCTCTCGGTGGAGGCACACCGCCGATATTGGTGTTGGTGTCAATCTCTAGGCCTGCGAAGTTTGGGAAGTCCGCAGCTGCAAGACGGCCAGCGTGCCCGAGGAGGGAGCGCCGAGAAAAAGCGGCCGGTCCGTGGGCGCCTCGTCGCTTCGGAGGCCCCGCAGGTCCTCCTCGTCGTCCTCCTGGGTGCCGGGGCAGCGATGGGGGCGAGGAGGCGGTGGAGGAGAGGGGGAAGGGCCCCAGGCTGAGGTCGGGCGTGTCCTCCTGCAGGCGGATTTTGGAAGAGAAATTTAGACAGTCCAGAAAATACGAAACATAGCCAAACATAGTCGAAACATCATCCCCAGTTTTTTTTGAGAAACAAATCAAAAAAAAAAAAACAAGCAAAACACATTTTTTTGAGCATTCCTCCTGTAGAGGCACACGCCCGACTTCACGCCAGATTTCCGGACGTTCTTTTCCGTACTTCGAGGCTCGGGGAGCTACCGCCCCGGGTCAATCCAAACCCGGGTCCGTCAGGCTTCGCGAGAGCCTGCAAGGCCCTGCAGGAGCCTGGACCCAAGCCCGGGTCAGCACACCCCTGGCCCTGCATGCTCCTGCAAGGTCTGGCGCTGAGGCTGACCCCCGTTTGCATTGGCCCTCGTCTCTTGAGCGGTTCCAGGGTCGAACCCCCCCCTGCGAAACTCATTTTTTGTTTGTCCCCCTTTGCGCTGTTTTCTTTTTCCGCAGCTTAGCTCGAGCCCTGGCGCCAACTGCACGCCGACCCGCATCCTGGCCAGGCCTATCCCGAGCCTAGGGTCTGCGTACAGTATGCGCCGAGCCCTGGGGATCCCTGGGGATTCGACCCTTGAACCCTCTTGAGCCCCGAGCGGCCTTTGGGGGAAACGGTCGGGGGAGACGGTCGGGGGCCCTGGGGCCGCGGACGGAAGAGGCAGAAGCACGCACGCCGTCGGATGGCTGGGGCGGGGGACGTGCCGCTGGGAGGAGGCGAGAGCTCGGAGCCAATGGGGGGATGAGCGACGCAGACCCATGCACCACCGGCGAGCGGCAAGCCTCGAGCTGGTGGTCCAGTCCGTGAGCGGCAAGGGCTATCCACGTCAGCCTCCGAGCGAGGAAGCACAAGCTGGCCTCCTTCCCGCCTGGCCGTCGAGCCCGGACCTCGACCTCCGGCGGCGTGCGCGCCCCCCGCTCTTCCTCCTCTCCCTCCTGGTCGTCCTTCCAGCTCTGGAGAAGACGGAGGCCGCCACAAGATGAGGTCGGAGCAGATGGTGCCGAGAGATCGCACCGCATCGGCGATGGAGAAGAAGAAGAAGAGGAGGAGGAGGAGGAGGAGGAGGAGGTGGCGGGAGGAGGAGTAGGAGGAGTAGGAGGAGGAGGAGGGAGGAGGAGGAGGAGGAGGAGAGGAGGAGGAGGCAGGAGGAGGGGAGGAGGAGGAGGAGGAGGAGGAGGAGGAGAGGAGGGAGAGAGGAGGAGGAGGAGGAGGAGGGAGGAGGAGGAGGAGGAGGAGGAGGAGGAGAAGAGGAGGGAGGAGGAGGAGGAGGAGGAGGAGGAGGAGGAGGAGGAGGAATGGGAGGTGGAGGAGGAGGAGGAATGGAAATGGAAGGCCCTCCAAAAGAGGGGAGTGCACAGCACTAAAGCCGCGCGCCCCCGCGGCCGGCGGGCGCCCGCGCGCGGGCGCGCGGCCGGCCGCGGGGCGCTCACGGCGCGGGTGGCGCAGGGCGCCAGCGGGCCCCCCGGAAGCGGGCAGCATGGGAATAGCTGCCCAGCTCCCCCCCCGCGTTCTGTCGGCCGGAAACGGCCCAGCCGGAGACACCCGGCAGCCGACAGAACGGGGGGGGGGGGCAGTCCAAACCAAACCCACGCCACCCATCCCAGGGGCCCGGCCCGCCACACGACGACGACGACGACGACGAGGACGACGACGGCGACGACGGAGACGACGACGGCGACGACGGAGACGACGACGACGACGACGACAAACGACACGACGCGACGGGGGGACGGACCGCCAGTCCCGCCCCAAGGCGGCGAGCGCAGGGGGGGAACCCTGCGCCGCCCTGGGGGAGGCCCCGGGACCTGGCAGCTACGGGAGGGGCCCCCTCGGGGCAGGAGGAGGAGGAGGAGGAGGAGGAAGAAGAGGAGGAGGAGGAGGAGGAGGAGGAGGAGGAGGAGGAGGAACTGGGCCGCGCCGATGGGCGCGCCCCGAGAGTTCGAGGCCCCCGGCCTGCGGACGGCTCCCGGCCCTGGGGGCCCACCAACGGCAGAGGCTGCGCTGGCGGGGCACTCGCCGCCGGCACCGCCGGGGCACACGCGGTGATGACGGCCCGGAAAAGCCCACGGAGCGTCACAGGGCCGCCCCGAGATGCCCAAACCAATCGAATAGATATGTTTGGTTCAGCTGGACGTCGTTGATTTCTGATCGCGTGTATTTCTAACTGTGCTCGTTTCTGAGTGTTCCTGGCCCCCCAGTGGCCAGGAAGAGGCCCAGGATAGAACAATTGGAAATGAAAGGATCTTGGCCCCCCCAAAAATCAAAGAACCTTCGAATAATCAGAAATGAGCAGTGTGTATGGTTGCTCTCTCGTCTTCTCGATCCCGATGGGCTTCCGAGGGGGGCCTCAAGAGCGGGAGGGGTACGATCCAAACACTGAGCCGCTGGAGACCTCACCCCCTCGAGTCTTCCCCGTCCCCCCGCCGGGTGTTCTGCTGCTTCACCCTCCTTTCTTGCAGACGTTATTGAACAGGGACCGACCGTCCCGGCATTCCTATAGTCATACCACGAAATTTTCTTAGAACCCAATAATGTTCTAAGAACAAAAACAATGTTCGTGGAACATAACCCCCGTGTGTTTAAACGAGACAGTCCCCACCAAACATGTTCTAAGACAATTTCCTGGAAACCACAAAAGGTTCTTAGAACATTGTTTGGTAGGGCTATAGGCAAGCCAGGACGCTTCGCCACTGCTTGACACTAATGGGGTCGTGACAAGAAAGGGGTACTCCACATCACTGTGTAACCGCAGCCCCATCATGTCCACCAACACAACCACAACACTCAACTTTCCTAGAAGGGGGTCCGGCATACTAAGGCGCCTTTCATGGGGTGGTGGGTGGGGGGGGGTGGGGGCGGAGTACTAGTGTGCCGAAGCACTGGGGGCCGGTATTTCAGGGGGGAGCCGTTTAACAAGGCACATTGAATACTGAGAGAAACGGGCCCTGGACCCCGGAGGCTTTCCCTGGGATCCACGTTTCATCCCGATCCGTTCCTAACGACCCCGGGGCCCAGGCTGGCCCCAGGAGCTCGAAGACGGGGGAGCACCTCCAGGGCCCAGGGACACACAAATGAATAGACACAAATGCCAGGATTCCCAATATTTTCCCCATACTTTCTGGGTTTTCGTCTTCCCCCCACGCTTCCTATATTCTTCCATCATCCCATATTTTCAGGGGGATCGACGATCAATTGCGTCTGTGTTTTGCCCCTCCTGAATGCAACCGTACGCTGAGATCCCCGCTCGTCTTTGCGTTGGACGCGGGTCAGAGCCAAGAGCGCTAACTCCCACACGCTCGGCCTCCGAGGCCAGCGGGGGCCGAACGGGGGCCCGAGAGTTTGGTCGACCCACAAGGGCGTCCAGCTGAACGGGGATGGTGCAGTAGATTTGGGACACTTGTACTGCAAACGTACTGCGTCGGAGAACTGTATTGCATCGTATTGCAACGAATGTGTTGCACGCGGCGAGAACCCAGCAATACGTTTGCGCACCGGAATGTGCTGCACGCTCCAGATCTATTGCAACCCCACAAATCTATCGCACCAACTCGATTGCACCACCCCCTTGTCGCCGGACCCCCTTTTGTTGGGCGCCCGAGTCATCCGGGGTAGCTCGGGCCCGGGGCAACCCGGGCTCGGATTCCCGAAAAACGAACCCGAGTTAGCCCTGACCCGAGCTACCCCTGATGATTCGGGTCAATTTTGGGTCAACCCGAGAGATCGGGAGCGGCAAAGAGGGGGGTGCCCAAGAGGGGGGGGTGCAAATCATGACCGGCGGCATGTGCGCGGCCCAGCTGGGGGGCCAGGGACGTAATGAAACAAGAAGAGGCGCCATGAGATCTGGGGAGATATCATGGCCCCCGCCACGATATCCACCCCCCCCTAGTCATCACCCCCCTCTTTTCCGCCCCCGAGAGAGAGGACGCACGAGCGAGGGCCCACGAAGAGGCGCACGGCGGAGGCACAGCGACCGGGCAGGGCACCCCGAGGCCGACCGCGCACGCGGGGGCTCCGACCCGTGGGCCCTTGCGCCGACGCTGGGCACTCCGCCTGCGCATCGTTTTTGTTCCTGGGGCCCGAGGTTCGCGCGGGGTCAGGAGAATCCAGGAGAATCCAACCTCCTCCTCCTCCTCCTCCTCCTCCTCCTCCTCCCCTCCTCCCTCCTCCCCTCCCCCTCCCCCTCCCCCTCCCCCTCCCCCTCCCCCTCCCCTCCTCCTCCAGCCAGGCTCCGAGCCCTGGCCCCGACCTCGCCGCGGCGAGGGCGGGCGCGGCGGCCACCTCCCGTCCCAGGGTCGCACTCCCGGCGAAGCGGCGCAGCGCGCGCGCCGCGGGTCCCATCGGACGCTACGAAGTCGAGGAGGAGCGGCGCACCAAACCACACCGCTGCGCAAACGGCGATGCAGCACGGCTCCCGGACCTGTCCCCTTGGCGCGCTGCCCGCCCAGGTGGTCCCGAAGGGAGCGGCGCCCAGGGCTTCCACCGGAGACGTGCGCGCCCCCGCCGCGTGCACGAGCACGGCCCCCCCCCCCAGGCCCCGCGAGGCCCAGCCTCGCGTGACGCCCGCCCGCGCCCCGCGCAACGCGCTCGCAGCCCGAGGAAGAGGACTGTCCACGTGCGTCTTTCTTTTTTTGTTTCGATCCCGAGCTCGAGCCGCGGCGACCGAGGACCCCGCCGGGCGCCAACAGAGAGAAGGAGAGAAGCAACCATGCGAGCGCCAGTGGCCGCCCTCCCTTGCCCTCCTGCTTAGGCCACGCCGCCTCCACCTTCGCCTCCTCCTGCTCCTCCTCCTCCTCCTCTTCCTCTTCCTCCTCCGCCTCCTCCTCCTCCTCCTCCTCCTCCTCCTCCTCCTCCTCCTCCTCCCCCTCCTCTCCCTCCTCGTCGTCCTCCTCCTCCTTCCTCCTCGCCCCTCTTCCTCCTCCGGACGACGACGACGACGACGACGACAACCACGACAACGACGACGACGACCACGACGACGACGACGACGGCGGATGTGTGAATGGGGGAAGCGAGGTGCGGCATCACTACGAAGGCGAAGAAGGGAACGATCGACGGAGGGTGCACAAATGGGGGGTGAAGCGAGGTGCGGCGCCGAGATGCGGTGCCCGTCCTGCTGGGCCCACGACTCCTCGCGAGGCGGGGCGGGGGGGGGGGGGCACGCAGGGTGCGCCAGAAACGCTGTCCTGCCGCTGCTTGCCTCCACGCATCGCTTCCACACGTGCAGAGCTTTGGCCCCGACCCTGGAGCATCCAGGGGGGGGGAGGGGTCGACGTTTTAGGAGAGCTACGAGGCGTTTCGAGAGGGTTCTCTTGCTAGGCAATCGAAGCTTGTCGGGCCTGCGGCGGCCTTTAGGGACCTCTACGGACGTCGGGGGGCAGGATTTGGGGCGGAAGCAAGACTTACCACCAGCACCAGCACCAGCACCAGCACCAGCACCAGCACCAGCACCAGCACCAGCACCAGCACCAGCACCACCACGACCTCCTCCCCTTCCTCATCCTACGACAATACTGTCCTCCCTCAGACGTCTACGGCGACACCCCAATCGAACACGGGCCGAACCGATTGCGAAACCAGCCGACACGGATGGACCGAAACCAGCCTGGAAGGACGCAGCGGCGCAGCGACCGAACCGAACCGCGCACCGACCGAACTTCGGCCGACTGCGAAGCAACCGAAGCGACCGGTCCGCGGACCACCCTCGCCCCCTCTTCTTTGGGGGCGGGCAGAGCCCGCTTTTTTGGGACGCCCGACACGGGTACGGAAAGAATGGGTACAATGCTCAACAGCAAATGTTGTCCCAAACCAACAGGAACTGCTGTTGGTCAGAGCGTGAATTACCTCCCCCGCTTTCGCTTCCAGGCAAAACCAAGCCATGCCACGCGCCTCCTCGTCAAGCGGCCTGACCAGCACAGGCCGTAGTTTGGCACCGCTTGGTATCTCTTGGAAGCGAGGGTGGTCAAAAGCGAGGGAGGTTTGTTTTCCCCCGAGTTGGGCATTGTACCAGCTCTTTCCGTACCCATGTCGGGCGTCCAGAGATTCGGCAGATCAGCCTTCCATGACATCGGCCTGGGGGCCGAGCTCCGCGGGCGCAGCCCGGCAGGCGTGGCGGCCGCATTATTATACCGCCCCGAGAGGCCAGGAAAGAAGAGCCCCACGGGTGACTCTTCGCTGCCACCATCGACTCGGCCAGGTGGTCTCTCTCTCTCTCTCTCTCTCTCTCTCGTGCCCCCTATTTTCTGGCTTTCTGTCTCCCCCCCACTCCCTGTATTTTCCCCTAGTTTCTGGGAGTCGACGACTCATGATGTCTGTGTGTGCTTTTTTCCCCCTCCTTAGCCAACAGAAACTTCCGGAGCTCCGCACGGACGTCTGGGGTCGGCCCTGGACCTCCTCGGGCGGCGCCGGCCGCCGGCACGCTGCGCGCGCCACGGCAAGGGAGCACGCGCTGATCACGGGCCTTCGCGAGGAGCTCCGGAAGCTTCGGCTCACGCGCGTTCTCTTCTTGGAATAACTCCTTGATCTCTCTCTCTCTCTCTCTCTTGACCTCTCTCTCTTTCTCTTTCTCTCTCTTTGAATCAATCCTTGATCTCTCTCTCTCTCCTCCCCTCCCTCTCCAGAGGCCTCCTGGATGAGGTCGGAGCAGATGGTGTCGGAGGATCGAGCCGCATCGCCGACGCATCGGCGACACACCGACGACGCCGGCTATGCACAGGTGACGTCGGCGCGGCGAAAGTCGGCCTCCCCGCATCGAGCCGCATCGCCGATGCATCGGGGATGCGGCGCGCTCCCCGGGCCCCATCTACAGTCGGACCTAGGACACAATAACATCTTCAAGGGACAGGAGACCCTCCGCCAGCCACAATGAAGACCATTCGCGGGTAGCCTCCCTCCCCCAGGATGCACAAACAACCATCCTCCTTTATTTCCTCCTCCTCCTCGTCCACCTCCTCCTCCTCCCCCTCCTCCTCGCTCCTCCTCCTCCTCCTCTTCCTCCTCCCCCTCCTCGTCCTCTCCCTGCCTCCTCCTTCTCTTCCTCCTCCTCCTCCTCCGCCGGCAGCGTTCGACGTTAAACGCCGGCGGCGTGGTCGCCGCCGGTCGACGCGACGCGAAGCTGCCGTGTTTGTCGGGAAGGTGGTAATGGGGGGTGGCCCAACTTTTGGGGTGAAGAAACGGACCCTACAGGAGCCATCTCTTCACCCCCCATGTAGGGTCACCCCTCATTGCCACCCGCCCGAATTAGATCTTCTTTGGATCAGACCTTGATCTCTCTCTCTCCCTCCTCTCCCTTTCCCTGGGCCCTAAAGGGACCCTTTGCTTCACCCCCCATGCAGGGTCACCCCCCATTGCCACCCGCCCGACCTTGATCTTCCCTGGATCAGCCCTTGAGCTCTCTTCCTCTCTCTCTCTCTTTCTCCCTCCTCCTCTCCCTTGATCCCTCTCTGTCCCTCTCCCTCCCTCTCTCTCTCTCTCCCTCCTCCCCCCTCTCTCTCTCTCTCCCTCTCTCTCTTTCCCTCTCCCTCCTCTCCCTTGACCTCTCTCTCTCTCTCTCCACTTCCCCCTCCCTCCCTCCCTCCCTCCCTCCCTCCCCCTCCCCCCCCTTGATGATCCCTCTCTCTCTCCCTCCCTCGCCTCCCTCCCTCCCTCCCTCGCCCTCTCCCTCGCCGCGGCCCCTCCGACGAGAGCGCCCCGCGGCCGCTCCGGCGCCCGCCGCCGACGCACACCGTCGTGCGTGGGCGGCGCCTCCTGCGCTGGCGGCAGGAGGCGCCGCCTCGGGCCTCTCGGGGGCTCTCTGCGGCCCCGTGCCTGCCACTCGGGCGGGCGGGTGCTCCCCTGACCTTCCAGGAGGGCTCCAAAATAGCAGAAGGACCCCGATATCTTAATTCCTGTCGAGGTTTTAGGCAGCCCAGATAGGTCTATAGGTCTGGAGGGCTACTTTTTAGCACTCTGGAAGGTCAGGGTCACCCGGGGGGGGAATCAGGGGGGCCGCTCGCGAACCCTACCCCTACCCCCCAAAGATTTCTGAGGGGGAGGGTGGGGTTCACTTCATTCAAGAGCTCCCGAGCGAAGTGAACCCCACCCTCCCCCTCAGAAATCGTGGGGGGTAGGGGTAGGGTTCGCAAGCGGCCACTCGGGCGGGCGGGTACTCACCCGGGGGGGGGGGGCCGGAGTGCGGCGGCGAGCGAGGGGGGGGGGGAAGAGCGAGAGAGCGAGAGTTTGGGGGAGTTCATCTCTAATTCTTCGAGCGAGGTCCCTTCTCGCTCTGGATTCTGGCTCCGGGCTGCCTCCAGTATATAACTCGCCCGAGGTCCAGGGCGAGGATGCCTCCTCGGAAGGCGGCGGCGCCTGGTGCCCGCTCGAGAATCGGAGAACAGCAGCTGCACACACACACGAGGTCCGCGCGGACTTCTCGGATCGGCGCCTGGGGCCCCCCGAGGGCGGCGCCTCCAGCGCCGCGCCCGGCTCGCTCCGCGCGCCCGGGAGGGGGGGGCCATCGCCGAGGCAAGACAACCGCGCGGACCCCCGAGCGGGAGAGCGAGCATGCCTCCTCGGGAGGCGGCGGGGCTTCGCAGCAGCCCTGTCGCCCTCTGTGAGAAGCTGCCTTGTCCGTCTTCGTCTTCTTCTTCTTCTTCTTCTTCTTCCTCTTCTTCCTCTTCTTCCTCCTGCTCCTCCTGCTCCTCCTCCTCCTCCTCCTCCTCCTCCTCCTCCCCAAAAAGACTTCTCGGAGGACGGGCCTAAAAGCGGGCCCTTGAAAGCCCGTTGCGGACCCCTGCTGGCTCCGAAAGGGGCCCTCAAAGGGCCCCTTACCTGCCACTCGGGCGGGATCGCCAGCTCTGCTGTGCCAGCGAGCTCGGCTCTGCTGCTGCCCAGAGATGAAGACCCTTGGGTACAGTGCTGCCGTCAAGCATGGCAGTCGCAGTGCCAATTCGGCCACTGCTGCTATCGCGGACGATCTTGCACCCGCTCCTCGCGCCTTCTGTCGTGGCGCGGCATTGGACCTCGCCCGTGGCTGGGCTGGCGCATACCGCCGAGGCTCCTCACTGGCCCAACATCGCCCCAAGCTTTTTGCTTTGCGATCGTTTTCGCTGTCCTCCTCCTCCTCCTCCTCCTCCTCCTTTTCCTCCATCTCCTCCTTCTCCCCCAGCTGCCCCCCCCCCCCCCGCCGGGCCTGCCGGAGGTCTCGGCCCTTGATGGGCTTGCTGACCGCGGAGGCGCCTCAGGCGGCACGCGGCTCACTGCGCGAAGTCCCATCCTGTCTCGCCTCCTCCTCCTCCTCCTCCTCCTCCTCCTCCTCCTGGTCCTGGTGCTCCTGCTGCTTCTCGTCATGGTGGGCGTCGTTGAACTTCTGCACATCCTCCGGTCTTTTCTCCTCCACTGTCCCCTTCCCCCTCTCCTCCTTCCCTCCTTACCTCCACTCTTCCTCCTCACATCCTCACCCTCACCCCCTCATCTCCCTTCGCCCTCCCGCTCTCCATCCCTGAGCCTGAAAAGAGAGCGAACCAGAGAGCAAGAGACAGAGAGAGAGAGAGAGAGCGATAACAACAAGCAACAAGCAAATATGGGAAGGAGGGGGGATCAAGACACGTACATAGAGAGAAACGGAGAGGGAGAGAGACAGACACACACGCACACACACATATATATATATATGTATATATGCATATATATATATATAGTCGAACACATAAGAGAGAGATGGGGAGGAAGAAGATCAAAACAAACTCTAGGGCCGGTCTCCCCCTGATGCGATCCGGCCCCTGTACCCGATTCACGCTCTTGTCGGTGTCTTCCCGTCCATAACTCTCAATAATTGTTGAAGGCCTTCCGTGTGCCTGTTTCTGTCCAAGTGGCGCTCTCCTCACATATGTTGACAATGATTGCGCTGCGTCCTATGTAGCCCCGACCGCCCAGCTCGTCAAGGAAGGCAGCCTCGGAACAAGCAGAGTGAGCAAGATGGCGATGAAGACGATGCAGGGCGTGCAGAAACGAAGTTGCAACCGCCAATGACGTACACTGCTGGGGTGGCTCGTCAAAACGCCCAGGGTGTTTTTGCATGGGGCCGTGGTCCTTTGGACTCGCCCACGTGCGACCTACGTCGGGCTGCACTGCAGGCCACGTCGACGGTGCGACATCTCGCCTGCACCAATGCTGCAGACCATGTGGAGCGGTGCTTTCGTGAACCGCATGCGCTGGACATGCGTTTGATATCCCGGCATGCCCCCACGGAGGACCGACGTCGCTTCTGCCGAGCCTTTTCGGGAGAGCGCGGCGGGACTATCGCACCCCACACGGGCCTCATCAGGACCACGGAGCCGTCTCCCCCCGCCTGTACAACCATGCCTCTAGCGAGCCTCGTTTGGGTGAGATCGACATATTCACTCTGCACACATGTCGATACTTCGCCGCAACGGTGGATGGGTTGGCCAAGGGCCCCTGCATATCTAATGGTGTGTGTGAGCGTGATAGAAATCGTTTTCTACCCTATAGATGTGTACCCGCGGTGCGAAACAAACAAAGTTGGCGTGAATGAGCTGTGCTGCATTGGCCACGTCAGATCCTTGTGCTCCTGTCTGGCATTACCTGGCGCTTAATGTTTGTTTCTGAGAACGCCTGCGTGAAACAACGTAGGTGATTACGCAAAGGCACGTTCACCTCAGGGACTCAGGGGTGTGCGGTATGAACAGCTGCGTGCGGGTCTTCGCTGTCGGCGACTTCGACTTGCGTTCGGCAACGTCACATCCTTTCCGCACGTGCGTGATATATTCAGTGCGCGTGAGGACTGAACCTGCACTTGTGACCCATGTGTGCACGAGATGGCATTGGGATGCTGGTGTAGACGCAGGCAGGTGAGGAACGGCGCTGGCTCCTTCCATGCCGCAAGAAAAAAGACCTCGCCCACGCCATGGCTCGAAACATGCGGGCGCGGGATCGCTTGCGAGCTGAAGGCCGGACCACCACTGCCGCCGCCGCTGCTGTCGTTGCCCTCCCGGTCGCCCTCGTTGCGGGCGCCGTTGCTGGTGTGGCTGTTGGCGTGGCCGCCGCCCCGCCCGCCCTTGCCGCCGTGGCCTGCGGGGCGGCGCTGGCCCGAGGCGGGGCCCTCCTCCTCGTCCTCCTCCTCTTCCTCCTGCTCCTCCTCCTCCTCCTCCTTCTCCTCCTCCTTCTCCTCCTCCTCCTCCTCTTCCTCCTCCTCCTCCTCCTCCTCCTCCTCCTCCTTCCCCTCCTCTTCCTCCTCCTCCTCCTCCTTTTCTCCTCCTCCTCCTCCTCTTCCTCGGCGGCGCGGCTCGGCGGCAGAAAGGGCGCCGGCCGCGCCGCCGACGGCCCCCGCCCTCCGCCCTCCTCCTCCGCCCTCCTCCTCCGCCTCTCCTGCTCCTCCTCCCTCCTCCTCCTCCTCCTCTGCGCCGTGGGCGCCGATCTCTCGCACAGAGCAGGCCGTAAGAGAAATCGGCCTCAGACTGTTCTTTGACTATTCTGGAATCTGCCCCTACTCCTGTATAGGGACACGCCCGACTTAACCCTAGAAAGATGCCCCCAGCTCCGCGAGCCAGCTTGATCCCCGCCGCCCCGGCTGGGGGCCCCCGAGCCCAGACCACCGACGGTTTCTCATGACGCGGCCCCCAATGGTCCGGACCCCTTCCCCGGGGCCGGTTTCTCACCCCGAGTCGCTTACTGAAGGCCCCCAGGCCCGGCAGGGGCCCCCATGGGGCCGAGAATGGCGAGAAGCCTCCCGTCGTGATTTTTCCACGACCCGAGGGGGTCTGGGACCCTGATCTTCCAGAGTGCCAAAGAATCGCCCTCCAGACCTATAGACCTATCTGGCCTGCCTCGGTCCTCCTCGTCCTCCTCCTCCTCCCCCTCCTCCTCCTCCTCTTCCTCCTCCTCCTCCTCCTTCTCCTCCTCCTCTTCCTCCTCCTGGAAATCAGATGTCGAGGTCCTGGTGCTATTTCTTAGCCCTCCTGGAAGGTCAGGGGAGGAGCCAGCGGCGCGACACGGCACGGCGCACAGCCCGGGGGGGCAGCGCCGCGCTCGGAGCGCACGCCCCGACCCTCCAGGAGGGCTAACAAAAATCGCACCAGGACCTCGACCTCCCAGGACCTCGACCTTCCAGGAGGGCCAGCAAAAACAGCACCCCAGACCTTCTAGGACCACGATGTCTCAAATCCCCGTCGAGGCTTTTTTTGGGCAGCCCAGAGATAGGTCTCTAGGTCTGGAGAGCTATCTTTTGGCACTCTGGAAGGTCAGGGACGGGGCGGCGGAGAGAGGGCGAGCGGAGCTCATACACGCCCGCGCCCACGGGCTCGGCACCGCTCTCGGGCGTCCGGCCCCCGAAGCACTTTTCGGTTTTTCGTGCGTGCACTTTTCTCGGTCTCGGGCGTGCCTGCTCCGCAAAGTGACCCAGGATGCTCCTCGATCTGAGCAGGGACCGACCGTCCCGGCATTCCTAGAGTCCTGCCACCAGATGTTCCTAGAACCCAGAGCTGTTCGAATCACAGCAACAGTGTTCTTAGAACATTAACCCAATGTGTTAAACCAAGACAGTCCCAACCAGAAATGTTCTAAGAACATTTCGTGGAAACCACAAATGGTTCTTAGAACATTGTTTGGTAGGGCTATGGGCGAGCCAGGACGCTTCGCCACTGCTTGATCGATGGCCCTCGCCGAGAAGACGTGCACAAGTCCGAGGGATGCCAAGTGCACCGGCCCAGATGAAGTTCCCTGAATGTCGTCACGACGACCACCAGCGGGAGTCGACGGGAGCAGAACGAGGCGGAAGACGGCGGAAGGCATGCAGAAGACAGCGGAAAAAAAATTGACGTCCGCGGACGTCGACGGAAGTAGAGCGAGGCGGAGGGCAGCGGAAGAAAACAGCGAACAAGATGACGTCCTTTCCGAAGTCCCTACCCTCGCAGAAGCCTAGCATTGCAGTCTTCTGCCGTGGGGCTGGCGGGATCCCGCCTAGCTCAATCTCCTGCTCACCAGATAAGTTTAGTTCAGCCCGGTCAGAATCCCACCCATCAAAAGTGAGGGGCACGAGAATCCTGGGCGAGCCTTCGGGTCCCTTCCGTGGCCGCGCGTGAGAAGTGGTAGTCTCATTGTGGTGCGGCAGTGGTTCCTCCCCCTCCTCCTCCTCCTCCTCCTCCTCCTCCTCCTCCTCCTCCTCCTCGTCCTCCTCCTCGAGGAGGCCAGGTCGAACCGGGTGCGGGTGCGCCATGCGGGCCCTGCCGCTGAGGCCTGCGGGGGGGCTACCTATTGGGGCCACGAAGCGTGTGAGGGGTGCGCCGAATCGTGTGCGGGTACGCGATGCGGATCCTGCCGCTGGGGCCTTCGGTGGAGCTACCTATTGGGGCCAGAAAACGTGTGATGGGTGTGCTGAATCGGGTGCGGGTGCGCGATGCGGACCCTGCCGCTGGTGCCTTTGGTGGAGCTTCCTTCGGTGCCACGAAACGCGTGAGGGGGGTGCCGCATGGGGTGCGGGTGCGCCATGCAGACTCTGCCGCTGGGGCCTTCGGTGGAGCTCCAAATGGGGCCACGAAGCGTGTGCGGGGCGTGCCGGATCGTCTGCGGGTATACCATGCGGACCCTGCCCCTGGGGCCTGCAGTGGAGCTCTCTATGGGGCCACGAAGCGTGTGAGTGATGTGCCGGATTTGGTGTGAGTGCGCCATGCGGACCCTGCCGCTGAGGCCTTCGGTAGGGCTCCCCAACGGGCCACGAAACGTGTGAGGGGTGTGCGGGATCGGGTGCGGGTACGCATGATGGTGATGAGATGAGGGCATATGCAGGGCAGGAGCAGGTATGGGAGGATGGAGGAGGGAGAGGGACGAGGAGAGAGCGACGCGGGGCGCTGCCTCTTCAAAACGAGGGCCCAACACCGCAGGATGACTGGGAAACGTAGGTCACCGGCAAGAACAGCGAGTGCAAGTGAGGGACACGAGGGGGGGAGAGACGGGGGAAATGAGGGGTAGAAGGGAAGGGGGCGGGGAGGGGGGAAGATGGAAGGAACCTCAATTTTCGCTGCTCCCCTTCGGCCCTCCATCCACTCGGCGCTCGGCCTGTGAGCACCGCGTGGCGGCCGCCGGACAGCTGCGCAGCCGTCTGCCTGCTCTGCTCGTACTTGTTGTTCTGCGCCCCCTCGCAGGGTGATGCTGGAGGGGGAGGAGGAGAAGGAGGAGGAGAAGGAGGAGGAGGAGGAGGAGGGGGAGGGGGAAGAGGAGGAGGAGGGGGAGGAGGAGGGGGAGGAGGAGGAGGAGGAGGAGGAGGGGGAGGAGGGGGCTGCTTGCGCAGAAGGCACCTACCTCTACACCGCCACCGTGCCTGGCCTGGGCCGTCCTGGGTCCGCGGATGTGGTATAAACCCCTCGTCGTCGCCGCCGCCTCCGCCGCCGTCGTCGTCGTCGTCGCCGCCGCCGTCGTCGTCGTCGTCGTCGTCGTCGTCGTCGTCGTCGTCGTCGTCGTCGTCGTCGTCGTCGTCGTCGTCCTCGTCGTCGTCGTCGTCCTCGTCGTCGTCGTCGTCGTCGTCGTCGTCGTCGTCGGATGGCGTGCAGACCACCTGCCGGGGGCCATGGTGGCCCTGGCCGGGCACGGTGCTGCACGGATGGCGTCTGCGCGTGGCGGGGAGGGAGGCCGGAGGAGCGGAGGACACTTTTTTCTATCGTCGGGGAGACGTAAGACTCGGGTACGGGGGACTCGGGTTGGCCTGACGTGGCCATCATAAAAATGACGAGGCCCAATCTGAAATTTGACGCGAGCTCCCGCTGCAAACATCCCACGAAAACTGGACCGTCAAAATCCAGGGCGCGCTCGTCAAAAAACGTCGGCAAACCCGAGTTCCGGCTTACTCGAGTCTTGCGTTTCCCCGATGTCGGCGGCGAGGCAGAGGTTGGCTGCACCAGCGATGTAGAGCTGGACGGGGGCACCGAAGAGCGAAGTGGCCAGCGTGCAAGAGGGGGGAAAACACAGACATGGAGGAAGAACAAAAGAGCAGAAACGTAAACTTTTGGGACTCCGCGCGGGTTTCTTGGATCTGGGCAAGGACCCCCTCCCCGGCGCGCGGAGCGCGCCAAGGGCGGCGCCGAAGGCGCCGCCAGGGGGCCCCAGAGCGGATCCAAGAAATCCGCGCAGAGCGCCCAAAGTTGATGTTTATGCTGTCTTTTCTTCTTCGAAGACAGGGCGGCCGCAGGGGGATGGGAAGAGGCGGCCGCTCGGGGGCGGACGGGTCGACACCTGAGCAAGCTGGCGCGGCCAGCTCCGCCGGCGGGGAACAGAAGGGGCAGCTGCCGGGCCGCGGCGCCGGGGCACGGGAGCGGAGGACGCACGGGAACGAGGGAGAGCAAGGGGCAGGAGTCGGCAGGGTCGGGACGTCTGGGCGGAGAGGTCGGCGGCGCAAGAGCCGAGGGCGTGCTGTGCGTCCCTGGGGGCATCGAGCGGGGCAGATCAACGGGGTGTGTGGTTTCGGGCCGTCCGCGCGCCGGTCTCGAGTGTCCGCGCAGTGGCGCCTGCTTGCGCCGCCGCCTGGTGCGCGCAGCTGGGCGCAGCCGCAGGGTGGGCGGGGAGAGGCGGCCCGATCGTGGCACGCAGCGGCAGAGGGGAGCGCGGCGGGCACGAGGCCCAGAAAGAGGCCACGTCGAAGTTGTGGCTGCTTCGTCGGTCCCAGGCTGCGGAACCACCCACAGTGGAGGCCGGTCCACAAGGGGCCTTCCATGAGGAGCCCAACCCTGAGACCCCAGGACGTCCATGGATTTTACCTAACAGCTTGTTCTGATAGGTTTCTAGTGGGGTCAAAAGAGAGCAGCAGATGACTCCACAGGGGGGTCTGGGCGGGTGCCGGACAGGGTGCCGCAGAAGTCGTTTTAAGCCAACAGTCACACACTTCGTGCTCTTCGACCTCCCAGAACTCCATTCCCGGGCCACATTCTGAATGCCCGGAGCCAACTGTAGGCCACTTCGTGCTCTTCGACTTCCCAGAACTCCATTCCCGGGCCACATTTTGAATGCCCGGAGCCAACTGTAGGCCACTTCGTGGTCTTCGAGTCCCCAGAATCCATTCCCGGGCCACATTTTGAATGCCCGGAGCCAACTGTAGGCCACTTCGTGCTCTTCGAGTTCCCAGAACTCCATTCCCGGGCCGCATTTCGAATGCCCGGAGCCAACTGTAGGCCACTTCGTGCTCTTCGAGTTCCCAGAACTCCATTCCCGGGCCACATTTTGAATGCCCGTAGCCAACTGAGGCTGAGGCAGGCTGCTGCTGAGGCAGGCTGAGGCTGAGGCAGGCTGAGGCTGAGGCAGGCTGAGGCTGAGGCTGAGGTTGAGGCTGAGGCTGAGGCTGAGGCTGAGGCTGAGGCAGGCTGAGGCTGCTGAGGCAGGCTGATGCTGAGGCAGGCTGAGGCTGAGGCTGAGGCTGATGCAGGCTGAGGCTGAGGCTGAGGCTGAGGCTGAGGCTGAAGGCAGACTGAGGCTGAGGCTGAAGCAGGCTGAGGCTGAGGCTGAGGCAGGCTGAGGCTGAGGCTGAGGCTGAGGCAGGCTGAGGCTGGCTGAGGCTGAGCAGGCTGAGGCTGAGGCAGGCTGAGGCTGAGGCTGAGGCAGGCTGAGGCTGAGGCTGAGGCTGAGGCTGAGGCTGAGGCTGAGGCAGGCTGAGGCTGAGGCTGAGGCAGGCTGAGGCTGAGGCAGGCTGAGGCTGAGGCTGAGGCTGAGGCTGAGGCTGAGGCTGAGGCTGAGGCTGAGGCTGAGGCTGAGGCTGAAGGCAGACTGAGGCTGAGGCTGAAGCAGGCTGAGGCTGAGGCTGAGGCAGGCTGAGGCTGAGGCTGAGGCTGATGCAGGCTGAGGCTGAGGCTGAGGCTGAGGCTGAGGCCGAGGCTGAAGGCAGACTGAGGCTGAGGCTGAAGCAGGCTGAGGCTGAGGCCGAGGCAGGCTGATGCTGAGGCTGAGGCAGGCTGATGCTGAGGAAAAGGTTGAGGCTGAGGCTGAGGCAGGCTGAGGCTGAGGCTGAGGCTGAGGCTGAGGCTGAGGCTGAGGCTGCGGAGGCAGGCTGAGGCTGAGGCTGAGGCTGAGGCTGAGGCTGAGGCTGAGGCAGGCTGAGGCTGAGGCTGAGGCTGAGGCTGAGGCCGAGGCTGAAGGCAGGCTGTGGCTGAGGCTGAGGCTGAAGCAGGCTGAGGCTGAGGCTGAGGCAGGCTGAGGCTGAGGCTGAGGCAGGCTGATACTGAGGCAGGCTGAGGCTGAGGCTGTGACTGTGACTGCCGTTGCCACTGCGACTGTCATCGCGAATGCGACTGCGACTGCGAGAACAGGAGAATTCTACAACTGGATTCTCATCTGGATCTTAAGGGGAATGTTTCCATATATGCTTCTACACATCGCTGTTAGGTTGCTTTGCCGGGATAATTACCTAACAGCTTGTTCTGATAGGTTTCTAGTGGGTCAAAAGAGAGCAGCAGATGACTCCACAGGGGGGTCTGGGCGGGTGCCGGACAGGGTGCCGCAGAAGTCGTTTTAAGCCAACAGTCACACACTTCGTGCTCTTCGACCTCCCAGAACTCCATTCCCGGGCCACATTCTGAATGCCCGGAGCCAACTGTAGGCCACTTCGTGCTCTTCGACTTCCCAGAACTCCATTCCCGGGCCACATTTTGAATGCCCGGAGCCAACTGTAGGCCACTTCGTGGTCTTCGAGTCCCAGAACTCCATTCCCGGGCCACATTTTGAATGCCCGGAGCCAACTGTAGGCCACTTCGTGCTCTTCGACTTCCCAGAACTCCATTCCCGGGCCACATTTTGGATGCCCGGAGCCAACTGTAGGCCACTTCGTGGTCTTCGAGTTCCCAGAACTCCATTCCCGGGCCACATTTTGAATGCCCGGAGCCAACTGTAGGCCACTTCGTGGTCTTCGAGTTCCCAGAACTCCATTCCTGGGCATGATTTTGAATGCCCGGAGCCAACTGTAGGCCACTTCGTGTTCTTCGAGTTCCCAGAACTCCATTCCCGGGCCACATTTTGAATGCTGAGGCAGGCTGAGGCTGAGGCTGAGGCAGGCTGATGCTGAGGCAGGCTGAGGCTGAGGCTGAGGCTGATGCAGGCTGAGGCTGAGGCTGAGGCTGAGGCCGAGGCTGAAGGCAGACTGAGGCTGAGGCTGAAGCAGGCTGAGGCTGAGGCTGAGGCAGGCTGAGGCTGAGGCAGGCTGAGGCTGAGGCTGAGGCAGGCTGAGGCTGAGGCTGTGTCTGTGACTGCCGTTGCCACTGCGACTGTCATCGCGAATGCGACTACGACTGCGAGAACAGCACAATTCTACAACTGGATTCTCATCTGAATCTTAAGGGGAATGCTTCCAGATATGCTCCTACACATCGCTGTTAGGTTGCTTTGCCGGGATAATTACCTAACAGCTTGTTCTGATAGGTTTCTAGTGGTGTCAAAAGAGAGCAGCAGATGACTCCACAGGGGGGTCTGGGCGGGTGCCGGACAGGGTGCCGCAGAAGTCGTTTTAAGCCAACAGTCACACACTTCGTGCTCTTCGACCTCCCAGAACTCCATTCCCGGGCCACATTCTGAATGCCCGGAGCCAACTGTAGGCCACTTCGTGCTCTTCGACTTCCCAGAACTCCATTCCCGGGCCACATTTTGAATGCCCGGAGCCAACTGTAGGCCACTTCGTGGTCTTCGAGTCCCCAGAACTCCATCCCGGGCCACATTTTGAATGCCCGGAGCCAACTGTAGGCCACTTCGTGCTCTTCGAGTTCCCAGAACTCCATTCCCGGGCCACATTTTGAATGCCCGGAGCCAACTGTAGGCCACTTCGTGCTCTTCGATTCCCAGAACTCCATTCCCGGGCCACATTTTGGATGCCCGGAGCCAACTGTAGGCCACTTCGTGCTCTTCAAGTTCCCAGAACTCCATTCCTGGGCATGATTTTGAATGCCCGGAGCCAACTGTAGGCCACTTCGTGTTCTTCTAGTTCCCAGAACTCCATTCCTGGGCCACATTTTGAATGCTGAGGCAGGCTGATGCTGCGGCCGAGGCAGGCTGAGGCTGAGGCAGGCTGAGGCTGAGGCCGAGGCTGAAGGCAGACTGAGGCTGAGGCTGAAGCAGACTGAGGCTGAGGCTGAGGCAGGCTGAGGCTGAGGCTGAAGCAGGCTGATGCTG